TGCTGCTGCTGCGTGACTGGCTCCCGCCGCACAGCGCGGCGGCACGGCCAGCGGCCGCCCCGGACAACCGCCGCCGCCCAGGCGGGTTGCGCCCAGCAGGGCCGCCGGCCGAGCTGCGCAGCAGCTTCCAACCATCAGCAGCGCTGCCTCTCGCTGCAATGGCACCAGCCCGCAGTTGTCTTTGAAGACGAAGCCCGATCGGCGGACTCGATCGCGACCTCAGGCTTGGTGTGACTGCGCAATGGAAACGTGTGTGCTGAGCTGCGACCGATGCCTCAGTGCACTGCAGTGCCGACCCGCTCGGTGGCGTGCTATGCCGCCATGAGGCAGCCCGCCACGTGTCGCCGCCGCTGCGCTGCAAGTTGCCGCCGCACACTGGCAAGGTGTGCCGCCGAGCGAGCTTACAGGAGCCGACAACAAACAAAGACAAAGCTCTTTCCGAGACAGGGGAGAGGCATCAAAGCCTGCTGCCGCCGCCGGCAGGCCTCATCTGGCTCGCCGGGATGGCAGTGGTGGGTGGGCTGGGCGGGAGGGCCTGGCCCAGCTGCTCCTCGATGGCAAGGTAGGCTCCATGTGCCCTGCAGCACAGGGATGGATGCCAGCAGGGCAGCAACACCGGTGGATCGTGCAAGGGGCAGGCAGGAGCTGTCTGGGCTGCGGCAGGCGGGTGCAGCTCCCATGCCTCTTGAGCTGAAGCAGGCTTCCGGCAGGCAGGAGCAGACTCGGAGATGGGCCCAGCTACCTGACAATCTGCTCCGCCTCCCGCAGCAGCTCTGCAGTGACAAAGGGCTGCCGACTGGCCGCCTGCGGCTGCAGCACCGCCTGCATCCAGCAGACGGCACGCAGGGTGGAGCAGCAAAGCGGCCAAATCACCACAGCCCCCGCCATCTGTTGAACCAACTGGGCAGCCGCCCGACCATCCAGCCCGACCATCCAGTCAGGCAAGCACGCACACGCATCAGGCCGGGCACCACGACTGCGCACCCACCCGAATCGTCAGCTGTGGCCCCGTGGTGTTGAATTCAGAGAGCACACAGCGCGGGGCGCCCAAGCTGTGGTCCAGATCCGCATGGCTGCACAGATACTCTAGGCACAGGTGCACGGCAAGGGCAGGGTAGGAGGGCTGGGGGAGGGTTCTGGTGGGCGGATAGAGTGGTGGTGGATTGCAGGAGGGCGTGCACGTATGCAGTTGGCGGTAGTGGGCCGAAGCGGACGCCCGCTACCCACCCACCTGTGATCGCCTGCTCAATCCGGGGCAGCAGCTCGACATCCTGGTAGCGTATCGCCAGCTGCGGTACGGCAGGCGGGCAGCGCAGATCAGTAAGCACGATGGCAATGGCAGGGTGGCCAAGCGGCAGCGATTGCCTCTTGTTTCAGCGGCCCCAAAGCCGCTCCCGCATTGCAACAGAGGGCCCAATGGGCCTAGGCCCGGGCGACATGGGCCATAAAGTGTCGGGTACACAGGCAAGGCAGCAGCTGCCCTCCAGCTGCCCTCCAGCTGCCCCCACCGTGGCGGTCACGACCTGGCCCGGCGGCACGCTGCCGCGCCGCCGCTTGCTCTCGTTCACCACAATCAGGTTCATCACGTCCTGCCGCAGTCATGGACCGTGTCCACACGCGCACACACAAGAAAACAGGTAGTGAGCATGCAGGCATGGGCGGGCAAGACGCAGGGAGGCGCCGCACAGTGTGGCCTTGCCATTGGCGCTCGCCCCAGTCCCAACGCCGGGGGTCCTCCTTGGCAGCACAGCTGGCTCCTAGCAGATGTCCCCCAGAGCAGCGCACCTTGTTGTTAATGTACACCGGCAGCTGGTCGCCGCCGTTGATCACGGTGCGCATGGGAGCGATGTGCTCCACTGTGCCTGCAGGCGAGCACCACCGGCAGCACAGGCAGCTCTTACAGAGCAGCGGGGCAAGGCGCTGCGCAATCCCCGTAGCTACAGCGCACAGCTGTTCCTGCTGGCGCTGGTCCTGGTGCTGCCAGCTTGCCTGCCACGATGACCGACCCCCCCAGGCTCCTCAGCTGGATGCGGTCGCCCACGATGAAGGGGCGGGACGAGTACTGCGGGCAGGCAGTACAGGGGAGAAAAAGGGGGGCTCATGCACAACAGCAGATCCCTTGGGTGCATCGGGTGTTGGATGCAGCTGCTGGGAGCCCAGCGGCATGCCCACGAGGCAAGGCCATTGAAGGGCAGCTCAACCGCAGCAGGGCACGCTCACGATCTGCAGCGCCGACACCACGTTCTGCATCGTGCTTTGAGCCGCAAAACCGACGGCCACTGCAGGCGGCAGCAGGGCACACTTGAGCAAGCCCATGCACAGCCAGCGGCAGGAGCAGCCCCTGGTATTCACTGAATAGCTTTCCAGCCGGGCAAACCCACCCGTGCCAATGCTGCCGACGGTGAGCAGCGGGCGCACATCGATGCCAAAGGCAGCAAAGGTGGTCACCCCAGCGCAAGCCACGATGGCCTACGAGGCAGCAAACGGCGGGGAGGCAAGGGGAAAGCTCTGAGCTTGCAGATCCGGACCCATCAGCAGTGCAATACTTGCAGGATCCACCCACGCGTAAAGCACAACTGCTGCAGCCTAGCCTGCCCCATGCACCAACCGAGCAGCAGCGAGCCGTCCGTGCTCGCCAGGCTGGAGGCCAGGCCAGGCTAGCCACACAGGCGGCACAGTGTGAGCTCACCCAGGACAGCAGGTTGCTGAGGGGCACCAGCAGGCGCGCCAGGTCAGCATCCTCCCCCCTGCAGCACAGCAGGCACAGCGTGCAAACCTGCAGTTTCCAGCCTTCCTCCTGACCCTCCCCACCGCACCACCGCACCACCGCATGCACACATGCACAAGCACGCCGGGCTGCATCGCACACGCAGGGCTGCACACCACATGCCGTGCCAGCCCGCCACCGCGCACATGTCGCTCTGCAGCTTGGGCAGCACGCAGCGCAGAAGATGCGCCTTCCAGCCGATCAGGAACCAGGCCCTGCCAGGGGGCAAGTAGGGACGCAGGGGATGAGGTGCAGGGAGCTGTGCGTGGGTCGAGGTGGGGCTGCGTGCTGCAGGCTTGCACCAGGGGCCCGGCACGCCTCAACAACCTCTGCCGCGGGTAGGCCGGCCGCGAGCCGGCACACGCTGAGCCAGCAGAAGCTCAAGCCAGCCTGGGTGAGGCATCTCACAGGAAGATGATGAGCACCAGCTGGGAGGTGTCTTGCATGAGCTGCGCCGCGCCCGACAGCCAGCCCGCCAGCTGGTGGGCGCACATGTCTGCGACAGGGAGGCGGGGAGGCACAGCGGCAGCCGTAGGTGGCTGCTGCAAGAGCCGGCGACAGGCCGACTGCTGGAGGATGCTGGCGCTTGCCGAGACAGGATGCACGCAATCCAAACGACAGAGCTCGGGGAGGGGCACTTGAGCAGCACAAAGAATGGGGCTTGGCAGCGGAAGCGGCGGCGGCGGCGGCGGCACGGCGGCGGCACCAGGCTGCCGGCTTACGCGTGACGGCGTGCAGCGTGGCGTCCAGGCGGGTGACTGCCACCTTGGCAAAGGCGGAGGCCACCAGCAGGATGTAGAAGAAGCCGTACCTGCACCACACCGTACCGCACCAAACTTAAGCTTGGCTTAAGCAAGCAGTCCTCACGGACATGCGCCCCGGACGATGCTGGCGTAAGAGGGGCCTCAAGCGGTGCGCTGGTCAGCGGCACGCGACGCACCAGGGCAGCAGCACCAGCGCGGGGCGGTGCACCGAGGCCAGCGCCGTCCCCACCAGAACATCCAGCCCGTTGCTTCTGCCCACCCGCGCATTCACGGCTTCCAGCTGCAGGCAGGCAGGCAGGCAGGCAGGGAGCATGGCGTGATGAGGAGTGGGGCAATGCTGCTGCTGCTGCTGCTGTTACTGCTGGAACATCCCCGCCGTCTTCGTCTGTTTGTGCCGGTGCCTGTGCCGCCTCACCTGCTCCCCGACCAGTTCCAGCAGCCTGAGGCCCGCCACCACGCCCACCACGGTAGCCGCGATGAGGCCGCCCGAATGCACCGCCGCCTGCTGCAGCGTCATCTGCTTCATGGCTTCCAGCAGCGGCACTCCCGTGGCCTTGATCCAAGACTCCGCCGCCGCTGCTGCCATGGGCGCCGCGTGGGTGCCGTGGGCGACGCGGGTGCAGGTGCGCCCGGGAGCCCGGGCGGGCGGAGCTGGCGCCAGCGGCCGGCTGCGGGGCTGCCTGCCGGGCTGGGCCGCTGCGGCCGCACTCAGCTGCATTGGGCTGACGGATGCGCCGGTGGATGGGCCAGGCGAGCCAGGCTGGGCGACCCTGGCTGTGCAGCGCGGCCGTGCCGCCGCCGCCAAGCCTGGTACTACGCGGCGCAGAGAGCTGCAGGTGGGGCCCATCCGCGCTGCCGGCCAGGCAGGTCGGGAGCCGCTGCCAATCATGGAGGGCAGTGCCGCTGCGGCTGGGAGCTGGGAATAGGGCTTGTGGAACCTGTTCAGCCGGGCGAGCTAGCAGCGAGCCTACAGCCTAATTGACGTGCAATATGAGTGCATCGACGCACGCCGCAGCTATTCAGCAAAGGCATAGGCTCCTGGACGAGCAGTAGCCTCGATGACACGGCGCGCCAGGTTGGCACTGATTCGAGAGCCGCCCAAACAAGCCTACCGACCCTTGATCTCAACTGTGGCTGCCAAGCTGAGCCATCGGGCACCTCAATTCACTCTCCCGATTGCCTGCACTTTCGGCTGCACCTTGTGCGCTGCCTGCGCAGCAATACGCTACGGCCGATCCAGGCAGCTGTTTGAGGCAGCTTTAGGGGCGCCTGCCTTGGGTTCTCCTGACAGGTGGTGCCGAAGGGTCCCAACTCGAGCTCTGCCGGCACGCGGCAACTTGCAGAGAGAGTAGGTCGATGTCCTGAAGGCCTGGTGGCCAGCGCCGACCGCACATGCGGCACCACATGTGTGCCGCCGCCACTGCCCCCGCCGCCGGTATGCCTGTATGCCCCGACCGCTCAGGGCATCACCCGCCACGCCTGCCTGCAGTGGCTCTCCTAGACAAGCACTGCATGAACAGAGTGATGACGGGAGCAGCGGTAGGCGGAGCGCTGGGGGCGTCGATAGGTGGGTGCCGGACCTCGGCGGCAGCCATGCTTGCACCTGTGCCGTGTGTGTGCGAGAGCAGGTGCTCTGTCCCTCTGCTGTGGCTGGTATGCCAGGCAAAATGCGGTGATAGATGGGGCGGCTAGCCGGACAACAACTGAAGATCAGTCTGCTGCAGGCCAGGCGGCTTGCAGGTTCCTGCGCCGCAAGCCTGCGCCCCTCTCAGCATCCCTCCACCACGCTGCCGCTGCCGCTGCCGCAGGGGCCATGTACGGCACATATGAGGCCTTCAGGTACAAGGTGCCTGGGCTGTACAAAGTGCGGTACATTGGGCAGGTGCGCTATGGTCCGCCTGGTGGCGCCACCCATTGAGCAGCAGTGCTAGTGCCACGACTGGGCTGCCACACAGTGCCGCTCCATGGCCGATGTGCTGCGTCGCATGAGCTGCCAGGAACACAGCCAGAACTGGCATGCCTCCACAGTCGTTCACTGCACCCACCCTGGCTTGCAGACCACCCTCAGCAGCGCGGCGGTGTTTGGGCTCTTCCTGGGGGCGGGGTCGCTGCTGCACTGCGGTCGGTCACAAGGGTACTGAAGAGGGCAGCGGCCGCAGGGCGCTGTGCTGGGTGTGCTGGGTGGCCGGCATCGGTGCCCAGACCCAACCAGCTGTGTGTTGTGCAACACCTTGTAACAAGAGGGAATTACACTTCCTCCTGACGAGCCAGTATGGTTCTATGGCAGGCCAGCATGCGGCGATGCGCGCGTGGGCGTTTGTTTGCTGCGGGCGGCTGCTTGCTGCTTGGCGGGCGGGCCGGCCAGGCGCATGTTACATGCATGCCACAGCGTATAAATGTAGCTGGCCGATCCGGGCGAGCGCCGTGCGCAATGGATGGCAGCGGGGGCGGCGGGTGCGGTGCACGCGCAGGGATGGCGGTGCTGGGCGGGAGCGGCAAGCAGGCAAGCCAGGAGCTGCGAGCGACGGAGGCCGGGGGGGCAGAGTACACACAAACAGCACACCATGACGCGTCACTGCTGGTAGGGGTGCATAGGCGGGCGAGGGGAGCATGAGGGTGCGAGGGCGCATCGGCGCATGAAGCAGAACGGCGAGCGGCAGGGTCGGACGCGGCGGCTACCAAACGAAGCAGGAAAGTTCGTGGGGTGGTCAAAACGGGGCCCAGGCACGAGGCCGAGGCGCCTGGCAGGAGGCGCATCCCTGGGCAGCGTGCGAGTGGAAAAAGGAGCAGCGGGCGCAGCGTCAGCTGCGGCATACCGCAAGGCCAGGCTAAACGAGGTTTGAGGCGTGCGGTGCGGGAAAAGAATAGGCGTGGGCGAAAACAGTGGTGTAAATGCAAGCTGCGCTGGGGGAGCCAAAGGAAAGCGAGCAAAAGGGGGAGAGGTACAGGCAGGTTGGTATAGCGTTTTATGAGCGTGGAAGAAAATCGGTGCGTGCAGGCCTGGCACATGTTGCACTGGCGCAATAGAGAACAGGCGTTCGTTTGAGGAATGGATGCCAGCTGGCACTCCGTCGCGGGGAGGCAACAGCGTGGGAGGCGCAGGGATGCGGCGCCGTGCGGCATGGCATCGCCGGCGCTAGCGGACTGCGCCGGCAGCCTGGGGCGCAGGCTCTGCGGCGGCGCCTGCGCTGGGCGGCACCTGGGCGGGAGGTTCATTCTTGGTGGCAGCTCCAGCATGCATGACTGCGGCCACTGCATCGCTGCTGCCCGCATCCCGCTGCTGCCCCCGCTGCTCCATCTGCTGCTGCGGCTGCTGCGGGTGCGGAGGGGGCTGCCCCTCGCTGCTGCCGGCCTCGCTGGCAGCCAGCGGCGCGGCGGGACCACCCTGGGAGGGATGCAAGTGCCGCAGAGCTGCCAGCACTGTGTGCGGCAGCTGGCCCGCTGTGACAATGGGGGGCAGCGCCGCTGCTGCCGCCGCCTGGGCAGCCGCCTCGGCGGCCTGCCTGGCCGCCTCGGCAGCCGCGGATGCCGCTGGGAGCTGCCCAGGCGCTGCCCGTGCCACCTCTGCCTGCCACATCTGCGCCGCTGGCGTGCGGGAGGCGGCAGTGGCTGCCGGCACGGGCTGTGCCGCCTGCGCTGCCGCCACGGCTGCGGCCACCACGGGCGGAGGCCTGGGGCCGGCAGGGCCCCGCGGGCTGATGGTGCCGCCGCCCACAAAGAGCGGCAGCACGGTGGAAGCGTCGGAGTGCTGCGGCTGCTGGGGGTGGGGGTGCGCCTGGTGGCGGTGCCACAGCTGCTGCTGGCACTGCTGCATGTACTGCTGGAGCAGCATGGAGGACAGTGAGGAGCCTGCTGACCCCTCATGCTGCGGCAACGGCGGCCCCACATGCTGCGGCTGCTGCAGCTGCTGCGCAGCCTCACCGCCGCCGCCGCCGGCCTGCCGCTCGCCGTCGAGCAGCTGGCGCTGCCGCCGCCGCTCCTGCCGCCACTGCTGCATCTCGGCGGCCGTGGGGGGCTGCTGCTGCTGCTGCTGCTGGCGCTCGGGGGCGGCCTCCCAGCCCCAGCCGCCGTCCCCGTGCAGCAGCGGCAGCGCTTCTGCGCTGGGAGTGCGCAGCTGCTCCGCCGCCATCACCAGAGCACCGGCAAAGTCCTGGAACGACGCAGCCTCCTGCGCCTGCCACGCCGCCGCGTGGCGGCTGCTGCCGCGCCACGTGGCGGCGCCGTCGTCCGAGCCGCCGCCGCCCGCCACTGCTGCTGCTGCTGCTGCTGCTGCTGCTGCCGCGGCTGCGGCGGGCCCTGCGGCGCCTGCGCCGCCGCGAGTGTGGTGCGCCGGGGCTGCGGAAGGGGCCAGGTCGCTCCAAAACTCCTCCTCCTCTTCCTCCTCAGCCTCCTCAGGGCTGTACTCATCATCGCTCCCACCTCGCTCTGCCGACATGGCGACCGCCAGCGCTGCGCGTGCTGTGGCTCGTGAACCCGGCCTGCCGCCGCCGCCGCCGCCGCCGCCGCTCCCCGCTCCCGCGGCTGCCCCGCCGCCGCCCGCGGGGCCGCCCCCACTGCGCGACTGCGGACGGGCGGCACCCGTCCCGGAGGCTGCACCGCCGCCGGCGGCGGCCTGCGCGGCGCCGCCGCGGCCGCCAAGCGCGCGGCGGGCGTGGCCCCTGGCGCCGCCGGCGCGCTTGCGTGCCTTGCTGACGCCGCCGGCCTTCACGCCCAGGGCTGCAGGCAGGTGGAATGAGGAGGAGTGAAGGAGCAGCATTCAGCAGCTGAGACATATCCCTCCGCAGGCGGGGAGAGGCAAGCCATAGCTCCGCCCCGGCAAGCAATGCCACAATGCCCTAGCCCGCCTGCCTGCCCCGCTGCACAGGCAGGCGCACCCTCGGCAAGCTTGCGCCTGAGCCAGGTGTTGTTGAAGCTCTGCAGGGGCAGGGTGCAGCACACCGACTGTCAATGCAGGGCAGGCGGGGCCTGGCAGGCAGCCCTGAGGCAGGAAGACCAGGCAGGAAGTCCAGGGCAGGCAGGAAGACCAGTTATGCAGGCCGGCGGGCGAGTGCGCAGGCAGGCAATATGGCGGGCTGCAGGAGGGAGAGCACACAGCAATGAGGCCGGCAGCCAGGCATGCCGGGGCGTAGCAGCGTCTGAGCAGGTGCTCTATCTATATCGGCCTACCTGGGTGGCAGCCCCATACACTCGCTGGAAAGCGTCCCGCAGCTCCCGCTGCCCCATGTTCCTGCAGCAACCCGCGGCAGGCCCACAGAGCCGGGGAGGTGAGCAGGCGTGAATGTGAATGTGTGTGTTTGAGTGGGTTTGGGGGGTGGGGTCGGCGGCCTGGTGGGGCGCAGGGGCGCGCTGCGCAGGCCATGCGGCTGCTGCTGGCACCAGGGGATGCGTCTGGCGCGGCAGCTGCAAGCAGCAAGGGAAGCACCCACCCACCTGATCATCTGCTCCGCGGCCCGGATGTCTGCCGCTCCCAGCCGCTGCAGCACCACCTCGCCCCGCACCTCCTCGGGGAGCCAGTGGCGGGTCAGGTGGTGCAGGCCGTGGGGCGGCGGCGGCTCGCCCTCGCCCGCTGGGCCCGCGCCGCCGGGTGCTGCGGCGCCCGGCTGGCCCTCGGGGGCTGCCACATTCAGGCCCCCCGCTGCTGCCGCCGCGGCCGCCTGCGGGGTGGGCTGCTGCGGGCTGGGAGACGGCGCCGCCTGTGCGGGCGCCGCGAGCGGTGGCCGATGCTCTGCCGTGAGCGCCGTCAGCTCAGGCGCCTGCATAGGCCGGCCGACGCACCCTTGCCTTCCAGCCTGCTCCGCTGGGGTCCAGGCCGCCAAAGCAGGCCCCGTGCCTTCGAGCCAGGGTGCGATTCCCAGTGCCGAATGCAGGAGCCTTGACCTTGCGCCTGTGCTGCCGGGGCGCCGTGGGGGCCGTTTGTGTGGGCTTCCCAGGCCCTGGGCTATCCAACTGGGCCCTGTATCCAGCTGGGGATATTGGGTTGGCCGGTGTCGGGCAATCAAGAGTTGTTCAAACCGAGCCCAAGCGCTGCATAGCCTGCACCCCGGCACACTCTCGGGTGTCTAGCAGGGCATGCGCATTGGGGTTTGGCTGCAGGCGCGTCACACAGGCCTCGACTTTCCACCCCTTTCGGCGCCCTGCGCACGCCGCATGGCGGCAAACCCGGCGGCGCCCGCACGACGGGCCGGGCACGTCACCCCGAGCATCCCCATGCCGCCAGTGTGCATCAGGGGATGGCAGCAGAGCCCATGCCTCGCCCGTGGCCTGCAGCCGCCACTGCCAGTGCTGGAAGCGCGCCTCGAATGCATGAAGCGGTGGGGCGGCGCCTTGCACGCCGTGCAGCCAGCCGCTGGGAAGCCCCATTTCCAGCAGAAGCGCCCGATTGAATCAGTGAGTGATTTGATCGGAACTAGTTTGGCTGCAGGTCCTGGAAGGGGAGAGCGTGGGCGCCTCGACTCCGAGTTGACCACAGTGCTGTGTCGCTACGGTGGCAGCGGCCCGCTTGCGCGGTGTCGGAACCAACACGCAATCATGTCCTTGCAGGCGTGTGCTGCTGGCCGCAGGCCAGGCGGCAGCAGGAGGAGCAGCCTGCGTTGACGCCAAGCGTGGGGGGCGGGGCATGGTCAGGACGCCGCTGCCGCCGCGCCCTCCAGGGTGCCCCCGTCCAGCGTTGGCCGGCGTGCTGCGGCTTGGGCTGGGCCATGGGTGCCACATGATGGAGTGGGTGCAGCTGCAGCTAATGTCGGGTGTGCAGTACCCAGACGGAGGACTTGGGCCATCCATAGTCCTCGCTCACGCGCCCCGTTGCATATCTGCCGCACCCATTGTCACCAGTGCGCGCCATGCAGGCTTTTTGACGCCAAACCAAGCTTCGGGGCTGCGGCTAGGGGAACGCCCCTTCGATGTCTCAGGCGGTCGCCAACGAGCACACGGCGCTGCTGGCGGCCCTGGGCGCTGGCCAGCCGCTGAGCCAGGCCGGGCCGGTGGCGTCGCCGCCGGGCAGCTCTGTCCAGAACTCTTATCGCCAGCGGCAGGCTACGCAGTGGAGGGGCGTGACAGCCACCACCGGGACCAACTCTGGTGAGGGAGACCGCGATTGGCGACGGTGCGGGTGCAAGCATGCCCATGGGTACTGAAGGCCCTTCTTCGGCCGCGTTGTTCCGCAGGCCTGCAGAAGTTTGATGTGCAGTGAGTGATGCTGATCGTGGGGACATTGGGTTGGGAGGGCCGCGCTCTCGTCAGGCCGCCTGCAGCAGCCACCAGCGCCGGCCGCCGCCGCCGCCGGCCGCCGTATGTGCCTGCTGCCGTCGCGACGCGGCGTCGCCGCCGCCCCCGCCCTGCACCCAGCCTGCCCCACGCCCCAGAGCGGCCCGCATGCCGCCGCGGCCGCTGGGGAAGCCGCAGCAAGCATGCATGCATGCTTCCCACCGCCGCCCCCCCTCCCCGCCTTCCTTCCAGGTTTGTGTTTTGCGACAATGGCACCAAGAAGCACCCCAAGATCTACGGCTTCTCCTCCCTGGACGCCGCCGCCCGCGCCTTTGACATCCTCACCTGCAAGCGGGCGCTGGAGAAGGGGCGCACCGTGGCCTCGGTCATGGCGGAAGACTCGGTGGGTCGGCGGAGCCTGTGGAGAAACGGTTTTATAACGATTGTTCATGGTTCTGGTGGATGGAATAACGGTATTATGCCGGGCGCGCCCTCCTTGAGCAGCAGCCTCGCTGCAGCGCTGCAGCCCTGCCCTTGCCCTGCCCTCCTTGCCCTCCCCGCTCCTCCCCCTCCCTCCGCCGTCCCGCCGACACTTGGCCTCCTGCCCGGCCGGCCCCGCAGGCGCTGGGCACCAACCACCCGCCCTCCGACTACCGGGACCAGGAGCTGCTGACCTTCCTAGAGGGCGCCACCCGGGACGACTGCATCTACGGCCTGAAGCAGTGCGCCAAGCGCGGCCACACCCTCGCCCCAGAGTGAGCTCGGCCGCCCCGCACCGCCGGTGCCGGCGCCGACGGCCGGGTGCTTTGGAAAACAGGGGAGAATGCAGGGCCTGAAAAGCCCGGCAGCAGGCCTGGCTGCGTGGGCACGCGCGCTCCCCCGCCGCCGTGGGATCGCCTCGCTTCCCGCCGCGCCTCCCGCCGCGCCTCCCATCACCCCTCCTCCCCTCCACATCATGTGTCCACCCCGCCCCACCCTGCCCTGCCCTGCCTGCCTGCTGCAGCGTGATGCTGGCTGAGCTCAAGGCGGGGATCGAGGCGGCACGGGGGGAGGCCGCCGACAAGCGGCGCGTCGGCGACCCGCGCCAGAGCTACGAGGCGACGGCAAAGGTGTGCGCGGCAGGGGGGCGGGGCGGGGAGGCGTGTGCATGTAGGTGTGCATGTGTGTGTGTGATGCTCGTGTGCTGGGGCTTGGGGGCGCGGCTGAGGCCGAGCGTGGATTGGAAGGGTAGACAGGCGGGGCTGATTGCTCCTGGGTGCCTGCTGCCGTGGGTGTGCAGGGCAACGATCGGCGGCGGCGCACGCCCTCCGCGCCCGCCGCCCCCGCCCCCGCCGCCTTCCAGCCCGCCGTGCTGGCAGCTGCTGCGGCGGCGGCCGCCGCCGCCATGGGCCACCCCTTTTCGCTGCCGCAGCTGGGGGCCGGCGACGCGGCCACCCTGACCGCCGGCGACATTGTGGGGCAGCTGGTGCGCAGCACGCCCGCGCCGGCGCCGGGAGAGGCGGCGGCCGCCGCCGCGGCCGCCGCCGCCGCGCTGGCCGCCCTCCTTCCGTCCGTCGGCGAGGGGCGCGCTGCGGGGGCCCTCCCGCCGCCGCCTGCCGCTGCAAACGGGGCAGGAGCAGGTGCAGCAGCCGACGGCTGCGGGCAGCCGACGGCAATGGACGTGGATGGGTTTGGCGGCGGCGCCGGCGGCAGCCCCCCCAGGAGCGCGGGCATCCCCAGCCGCAGCCGCACCCCGGCCGACGGCGCGGCGGCGGCAGAGCCCCCCCCGGCAGGCGCGCCGGCAGACGGGGCGCAGCCGGCAGCTGCAGATGCAGCGGCGGCTCCTGCCCAGGAGGCAGCTGAGGAGGGCCAGCAAGATGCGGCGGCCGCCGCCGCCCTGGCCGCCGCCTCGGCATTTGCCCAGGCCGCGCGCGAGGCCGCCGCGCCGCCGCCGCCGCCGCCCAACGCGGCCGCGGCAGCCGCGGCCGCCGCCATCGCCACGCTTCAGCAGCAGCAGGCGGCGCAGGCGGCGCAGCAGGCGCAGCAGCAGCAGCAGCAGGCGCTGCTGGCGCAGGTTCTGCAGGCGGCGCAGCCGCGCGCGCCCGCGCCGCCGCCGCCCGCGCCGCCGCCGCCGCCAGCCCCGCCGCTGTCTGGCCGCCTCGCCTCCCAAGGCCTGCCGCTGCTGCTGGAGCTGCTCAGGCAAGCCACCCTGGCAGCCGGATCACACCGTTGTATCACATCATCACACCCCACACGCCGCTCCCCAGCCCCTCAGCATGCCCTCGCGCCCATGCGGGGACCCTCCACCCGCCCTGCCCCGCCTGCCAGCGCTTGCCATGTGCCTGCCTGCCTGCGTGCCGGCCCCGCCCCGAGCCCCGCCCTGCACACCTCACCCTCTAGCAACAAAGGAAACCGGTTCCATTCTTTCCGTTGCGCCTCGCACCCCACCCATGCCCCTCGCACCCCACCCACCCCGCCTGCGATGCAGGCTGGGCGCCACGTCCTCTCCCGACCTGGGCTGCGCTCAGGACATCATTCGCATCTGGACTGCGCTGCACGAGAGCCAGGTGGGTGGGGCCTGCCTGGTGGGACCGTCTTGGGGGCCCTGCCTGGGAACCCTGAATCGGTGTGCATGTGCTGGCGGGTCTCTATGTGCTGGTGGCCTCCCAGCCCCGACCGATCCCGCCCCGCCCTGCGTGTTGCCGCTGCGTGGTGCCTGCTGCAGAGCTGGCAGGGGGAGCAGGTCCACCTGCCGCACCAGTACTACCAGGGGCTGCTTCCGGTACTGCAGGTACGTACTGCATGCGTACTGCACGGGTACCGCCTGCGTACCGCTCGCCCTGGCCTTGCACGCCGCGCGGAGCCCCCGGCGCGTGCTTGCTGCTGCGCGCGCCCCTGCCGCCGCGGCACGCGACCCTGCGACACTGCCCCCTCGCCTCCCCCCCCTCTGGCGCCCCGCAGGCCTGCCCCGACGTGAGCAGCATCCTTGCGCTGACCAGCCAGCTGTGGCAGAGCGGCATGCTGCGCATGCTGAGCAGCGCCCACGCCGCCAGCCAGCCCCAGCTGCCGCAGCCGCAGCACCAGCCGCCCCTGCCGCCGCTGTTTGGCGCCGGCGGCGCCAACGGCGGCCACCAGCCTGGCGGCACCGCCGCGCTTCAGGCAGCAATCACGCAGCTGCTGGCAGGCGGCACGGGCGCCGCCGCGCCTGCGCCGCCGCCCGCGCCTGCGCCTGCTGCCGCGCCCACCATCACGACCGGAGCCCCCGGCGGCGCCGTCAGCGCCGACGCCCTGCTCGCCGCCGTTGGCAGCGTGCTGCAGAACCCGGCCATCTCCCAGCTGCTGTCCCAGCTCGGCGCCGGTGGCAGCAATGGCGGCAGCAACGGCGGCAGCAACGGCGGCCTGTCCCTGGGGTCGCTGCTGGGCGGCGGCGGCGGCGCTGCCGCGCCGCCGCCGCTGACCCTGCCCGCGGCGCCGCCCTCAGCCGCCTCCCTGTTTGCCGCCGCGGCGCAGCAGCCGTTTGCCGCCGCGCAGGCGGCGCAGCAGGTGCAGCAGGCGCTGCAGCAGCCTGTCATCACCGTGGCCACCCGGCTCACGCGGCAGCCCTCCGGCAAGGGGCGCCACCACGCCTCGCGCCAGCCATCTGGCGAGATGCCTCCGGCCAAGCGGGCACGGCGGCAGCCCGGCGGCCGCGGCTTTGCCGGCGGCGAGGAGCCGCCGCCGCCGCCGCAGCTGCAGCAGCTTCTGGACATTCTGAGCGGGGAGAACCCTTCGCCTCGGGAGCCCCCCACCCTGCCACACAACAACAACCACCAGCAGCAGCAGGCGCAGCAGGCGCAGCAGCGGATGCTGGGGATCAAGCTGGAGGCTGATGGCACGCAGGTGGCCACAGCAGGAAACAGCAGCGATCCGCCAGTGACCGTGGTGGTGGCCGAACGCCAGCCCTCCACCTCTGTCCCCGCAGTCGCCTCGGCCTTCCTGGCCGCAGCGCAGCTGCCGCTGCCGGCCGCGGGCGGCGGAGGTGGTGGTGGTGGTGGTGGCGGCACCGTGGGTGCCCACCCGCTGGCCGGCCAGCGCTCCACTTCCCTCCACCGCTCTCTGTCCAGCCAGCTGCCGCTGCCCGCCAACCAGCCACAGGTGGTGATTGTGCCAGCTCCGCCGCAGCCCCGCTCGCGCTCAGCTGAGCTGGCGGCCGGCGAGGCGGCCGGCGGCGCGGCGGCGGCCGCTGCGGCGGGCCTGGTGCGCGGCGGCGGCGGCGGCGGCCGCGGCGGCCGCCTCGAGCTTACTGTGTCGGCGGCGCCGCAGGAGCGCACGTTTGAGCGCGGCGCGGCGGCGCGCAGCGGCGGCGCCACCATCACAACAGGAGT